GCTCCCTGGTGGTGTCGAGCTGCCCCTAAGTGGCGAGTTCTTCGTAAGATGCCAAGCTGCCTGCGGAGTGACCAACTGCCTGTGGCGAGCTGCCTATGCCGAGTTGCCTATGCCAAGCTACTTGTAAGTGCCGAGCTGCCCCTAAGTGGCGAGCTCTTCGTAAGACGCCAGGCTGCCTGCGGAGTGGCCAGCTGCCTATGCCGAGCTGCCCCTAAGTGGCGTGCTCTTCGTAAGACGCCAGACTGCCTGCGGAGTGGCCAGCTGCCTGTGGCGAGCTGCCTATGCTAAGCTGCCTGTGAGTGCCGAGCTGCCCCTAAGTGGCGAGCTCTTCGTAACACGCCAGATTACCTGCGGAGTGGCCAGCTGCCTATGCCGAGCTGCCCCTAGCTATACCGAGCTCCCCGAGCTATGCCGAGCTGTTTGTGGCAAGCTCTGCCGAGTTGCCCGAGCTTCCCGAGTTGCCCAGTTGTCAAGAGGCTGCACTTGGTTTGCATGAGGTGACAGGTGTCACAATTTCACTGGAGGACCAAATCCACCCTCATCAATAACCTTGGTTATTATTCTAAAAAGTCGTAAAATTTAAGATGTTAATTTATTCAATTTATTAGCTTGAACCACCCCGGTCTAAGTTGATTTACTCTGGGTCAGCCGGGTTTATGCACTTATTCGAATCCACTCTCTTGCAAGTGTACAAGCTTCTTTTTAAATCCCTATTACAAAAATGTGCGAATAAACCGAGTAGGTGACCATCACAATTAAACATGCCAGTGTTTGAGTTCTCATCCTCTATACCCTTGTATAGAAAATTTTCTGTACGAAAACAATAACAATCTGTTGCTATTGTTCTGGTATAGGAAAATTTTCTATACCAACCTTACAGAGGATGTGATTTCAACAGATATTTTAAATCTGCAGCCACACATGAGAGATCGGTGGATATAATTCACGGCGGATAGACAGTGAATAGTAATAGTGAGTAGGAAATCTGTGTTCCAGATGTATTTTTACATCTTTGGGCAGACGATATGTATGTGTTCCACTAATCCAGTATCAATAGATTCCAGCACCTTTCAAGTTTCGATGGATATTTGGCGCTCTGTGGGCAGCCGATATGTTGTGTCTTTGGTACAGAGAAAGCATGAGGCATCGACTTTGGTTCGCAGAATAGGGGTCTGGAATCAGAATTGGAATGGGTTATTCCAATTCCAATTCTTTGGTTGGCTAGAATTAGAATTTCATTCCCATTCTCCATTCCTGTTGGAATGGCATTCATCCATTTGAGGGAATGGCCATTCCCTACCCCTCCCTTTGAAATGAAATTCCATTTCTTCTGATTTTAATTTTCATTCCTATTCTCATTTGAACCAAACAGATTATAGGAATGGACCATTCAATTTCGATTTCGATTCTAATTCCGACTATGAATCAAATGGACCCGTAATAGTGTTTTTGCTTAATTTTCAGTTGCTAATCTTGTTGTGTATCTTTCTCCAATAAAGCTGTTGGGTTTTTATTTATTAATTTTTTTGCTTATTAATCCAAAATTTACTCCCAAAGTATTTGAATACTCAGGGCTCGTTTGGTTTGCAGGAATAAGGGTTTGGAATCCAAATCGGAATGGGTTATTCTGATTCCAACTATTTGATTGGACGGAATCGGAAGCCCATTCCCGTTCCTATTGGAATGGCATTCCCCCATTTGAGGAAATGGCTATTCTCTGCCTTTCCCTTGGGAATGAAATCCCATTCCTGTTGATCTTAATTTCCATTTTCATTCCTATCTGAACCAAATAAACTATACATTTTGATTCCGGAAAATTTCGATTCCGATTCTAATTCCAACTATGAAATAAACGGACCCTTAGATTTTTCATTCCTAAATTCAGCCATTAGTTTTTGTTGCTTTATAAATAATAATTTGTTGGTTCGGGAGCTCTTCAAGAATTGCTAAAATCTTGGTCAAATGCTCTAATTGCTTTTCAGTTGCAGTGAGCTGGTTCTTTTGAAAACCAACTCCAAACAAGCCTGTGCAGTATAGAATAGGTGTTGTCAAATAGATTTTGTTGGAAGGCTAGTCAACAATTGTAAGCGCTATTCAAAGATTTAAAAACGACATTGCCCATCAGACACATACAGAAAAAGCTAGAGCACAAGAAGGAAGAAGGAATCTTTAAAGCCTAAGAAGGACAGGAGCCATCAGACATGCATGAATTTTGTTGAAGGTTTGGAACCCACATGTGTGGGTTTATGTGGCATGAGGAGGTTGATTATAGATGGAATCTAGTGCAGTAAGGTGTAAAGGTATCACTTTTTAGTCTTCGGAATAACAATGATAATTGACTAAAATCAGTGTTTGAGCTTGGGATACCCAATACTTTTTCTGACTAGTGTAAATCCAACATTCAGTCGAGAATATGATTGAGTTTTGAATGATGAACTTTCGAAGTAAGCAATATATTGACCATCTGAATAAAGGTCTTTGTCTTTCTCCTCTTTCTTTGTACCCACGGATTTGGGGTTAAGGAAAAGAAGATTTTGAGGTTTTGGCATGGTGGTCTTTGTCACCCTATTATTTTTTCCTTCGGCTGCGTTTGGTAACGATGTAAATGGAGTGTAAATTTTGGTTCAGGGTAAATTTGCACTCTGGTTTATTTTTACTTTGTTTAGCAATATTATATTTATATATTGACAAATGACAGAAAATACAATTTCTAATGCATATTTACATTGATAATAAGATGTAAAAGTACATCAATAAAAAAGAAATAAGTTTGTATTGGGCTTTTGATAAAAAACCACATATGCTTTATTGGAATTCATATTTGTATCTATTATAGTTAAAAACAAAGTTTTTAAAACTGATCTGGAGAACAAACCAGTCAGGGGACCGGTTCTTGGGTCGAACTGTTCGACCCAAACGGTCAGCCCATTCTGACAAAAAAATGAAAATAAAATAAAAAAATGGTCAAACCTGCTGAATGGTTTGAATGCCCAGGTCAGCGGTTTACTGACCAAATCAACGTTTTTTTGCAAATATCTTCTTTTGGGGAAAAACGGAACTGGTCACCTGACCAGTTCCCGGTTTTTCCGGTCTGACCATCCAGTCTGGTCCGGTTTTGAAAACCATGGCTAAAAATCTGTTTGGTAAGAAGGTAAATTTGTCAGTGCAAAACTAATCAAACTTTACAATTTATGTGGACCGTTTTACACTACATATTTGCATTCATACTTATTTGCATAATTTCCAAACACATCCTTCGTTGCATTCAAACAGGCTTAAAGTTAGTTGACACATATAAAGCTTTAGGCTGTATTTGGTTTGAAGGAAAAAAAAAAAAAAAAACAGAGAAAGGAAGAGCTACACAGTATTATATTAACCATATAACATTTATATTTTAAAGTGGTATGTCTGATTTTATTGATGGAAGAGATCATGCATTCTAAAATGTTAGACATGTCGCTTAGATGTCTTAGATTCATTGACCTGTATTTATCGATACCATCCACTCTGATAAATTTGATCATTTGTCCAGTTTAGTATTATAGTATATAATTTCGATGGAGGAGATTAATCTGTTGTTATGGTTCAGTTTGGAAGTAGTACAAATGCAAATATATACAATATAAATACATACAAAATAATACAAAATATAAGGTTTTGCACTCTATATATTTGCATTTATACTCCTTCCAAACTCAGCCTATGGGGCACAACTTTGATACCTTGACTTTTAGGTTGATTTTGCAAATTACTTGGGCAGTTCTAAATTAGTTGAAGTTTTGGCTATCACTAGGATGGTTAATTAGACTAGTTCACCGCCATTGGGAGACCACATTAATGGATAATGGATCGCATCTTTGGTTGATTTGATACTTCATTTGAATGTGATCAGTTAGCTAAAATCAATTGGTACATAATGTGGACGGTCAAGATCAACTAACTAGGAGACAATTTTGATGGGTTCAGATTTTTGGTTTATATATAAATTTTTTTGGTTATACTAATCTGTGAGGCTTGCAGGGTAAAGGAATAAAAACCTCAGTCTCTCATTTCATGGGAACTCAGATGATCAGATGGGGCCCAGGGTTATGAAGTGGGAGGCATACCAATATAAGAGGGGTTATGTGGTCATAATTCCTTCTCATAGCATGAAATTTACAGTATCAAATCCAAGATTAATCTGACAGTCCAACAATTAATTATCCTCTGCCAAACCATGAAAAAAATAAATACTACAAATTGAGGAATGTGGTTTAAAATGTTGGTGAAGCTTCACAAAATATAATGAATATTACATAATTAAGCAAAGATTTTTCCAACTTGGATCATCAATATTATCTACTGAAACATTTAACTGGGAGAGTTGTATGGAATATGTGCATGTCTGTCAGTTTGTGTCCAATTGTTGTAATCATGTAAGATAAGATGCATATGTTTAAAGTGTAAAACGATGCAAATAAGTGTGAGTGCTAACAGTGCAAATATGCATTCCTCTCAGGTACAGTGGGTTATTCTGCCATGGTTATAAGTTTTTAAGGCTGCGTTTGGAAACGATACAAATAAGTATGAGTGTAAAATGATTCATGTAAATTGTAAAGTTGGGTTAGTTTTGCACCGACAAATTTTTCTTCTTACTAAATAAACTTTTAGCTGTAATGGATATAAACACGAATTCCAATAAAGCATATCTCTTTTTTTTTATCAAAAGCTCATTTGAATGCAAGTTTACTTTTTTTTTTATTGATGTGCTTTTACGTCATAATGTAATGTAAATATGCATTGAAAAATGTGTTTTCTATTATTTGTCAATGCATAAATGTAGTGTTGCCAAACACAGGCAAAAGTGAACCATGATTTACACTCCATTTACATAATTTCCAAATGCAGCCTAAATATTAAGAGTGACTGCTGAAGTTAATCGAATATATAATATATGATAAATATACATTGGTTCAAGCAATCGTCTACCCAACTCACAAGGGGTTATAATAGTGGTAGACTAGCAATTACAAAAGAAAGGAAGAGAATTATACATGTTTATACCATAAAGCTGATCACAGAACTATGTTTAAGATGCAACAATTACAAGAGACTATGAGGCTGTAAAATAGCCATTGCTGGATAGACTACAATTAGGTATAATAAGTATTAACCATTATTTCAACAATGGTCCCGAGAGCCTATTATTGGAGAGCCGTAAATGATTAAGATTGATCAAGTTTTCAAAAGTAGATGGAATGGCACCTTTCAAATGGTTATCAAATAAATATAATTTCATTACATTTGTCAGATTTCCAATCTCTTGAGGAATGGAACCTGATAGCTCATTTTCATGGAGCAATAAATGGATTAGCTTGCTCAAGTTACATAGGGAGGTAGGGATGAAGCCTTTGAGATGGTTTTTGTACAATGCCAGTTCTAAAAGAGCTCTAAGCTTTCCAATCTCAGGTGGAATGGAACCTGACAAGTGATTTTCATGGAGGTATAAAATGGTTAGCTTGCTCAAGTTACCTAAGGAGGTAGGAATGGAGCCCATTAGCTTATTTTGTTGCAATGAGATCTCTGAAAGGGTCCTAAGGCTTCCGATCTGTGGAGGAATAGAACCAGAGAGTTGATTTTCATGGAGGTATAAAATGTTTAGCTTGCTCAAGTTACCTAAGGATGTAGGAATGAAGCCAGTGAGCTTGTTTTCGTACAATGCCAGTCCTGAAAGAGCCCTAAGCTTTCCAATCTCAGCTGGAATGGAACCCGACAGATGATTTTCATGGAGGTATAAAATGGTTAACTTGCTCAAGTTACTTAAGGAGGTAGGGATGGAGCCCATGAGCTTATTTTGTTGCGATGATAGCTTTGAAAGAGCCCTAAGCTTTCCAATCTCTTGAGGGATGGGTCCTGAAAATTGATTTTCATGAAGGGACAAAGTGGTAAGCTTGCTCAAGTTACCCAAGGAGGTAGGGATGAGGCTATTGAGATTGTTGGTATACAATAAGAGACCTAAAAGAGAAGTAAGCTTTCCAATTTCTGGTGGAATGGGACCTGAGAGTTTATTGTTGAAGAGATGTAAAAAAGTAAGGTTAACCAAATTCCCCAAAGTAGAAGGAATGGAACCAGACAGATGGTTATCGGATAGATCTAATTCTATTAGATTGCCTAAGTTTCCAATCTCTTGAGGAATGGGTCCTGACAATTGATTCTTGTAGAGATATAAAGTGGTTAGCTTGCTCAAGTTGCCGAAGGAGGTAGGGATGAGGCCAATGAGATTGTTTCAAGACAATGCTAGATACCAAAGAGAACTAAGCTTTCCAATTTCTGGTGAAATAGAACATGAAAGCTTATTATCAGAGAGGGACAAGGCATTAAGGTTAATCAAATTCCCAAAACTAAATGGAATGGAACCTGTAAGATAATTACGGGACAAACCTAATAGCATAAGATTAGTCAAGTTTCCTATCTCTTGAGGAATGGGTCCTGAGAGTTGATTTTTGTCGAGCAGTAGGGACTTCAAGTTTTTTAACTGTGCAAAATTTGTGGGGATGGATCCAGTGAGATTGTTGGAGAACAGAGTCAGCTCACTAAGATGTTTCAGCTTTTCTATACTTGAAGGTATTGAACCACTAAAACGATTTCCATCAAGATACAAGACTTGGAGACTTGTTAGGTTGGTAATTTCTGATGGAATATTCCCGAAAAATTCATTGATTGACAGATCAAGATAAGTTAATTTGGAAAGTTTACTGATGCTGGATGGAATAGTGCCAGAGAGAACATTATTGGTGACATCAAGACGAACAAGGTTTGGAAAAGATGAGAAATTGAACTTATGAAACGTACCTTGCAAACCCATATTTGGGAGGTTTATTTCAATGATGCTTTTCCTTTGGTTGCAGACAATTCCAACCCAGTTGCAGTGATTGAATTGGACAGAAGAGTTTGTGGCACCACTACCATTAGAAGGAAGCATTGATCTCCAAGAAGTGAGAAGAAACTGGGTTTGGTCAGGGAAGATAGCTTTCCATTTGAGGAGGGCTTCCACTTGTAATTCTGCTATCATACTAGTATCAGCAGTTGCCATGGTTGTTGTGGTTGTAGTAGAAGGAAAAGGAGAGGCATGAGAGAAACAAAAACTTGGTAACACAGATAGCAAGGAAACTACTGCAGGTAGCAGGATAAGAGTGAAGGATTTGAATTTCTCAAAGCCCCAAGAAGATGGCCAAATCGTCATAGCTATGGTTGTGGGTAACGAAGAAGTAGTAGCTTTGTGTGTTTGATACACCAAATAGGGTGTGAGCTACTGAGCTTTATAACCTGGGGAAATTAACCTGTGGATCATTGGAAGAAAGATTTACTGGGTATTGGCTGTTTGATGACTACTCTTGCGCCTTGCCATGAATTTCCATGAAATGTAACTTCCATTGTCAATTTATGTTAAAAATCATTCACCCTTGTGTGTGAAAGGGGAGGTTTAATTTCAGAGTAGGTTCCGTCAGCAATTCTGCTATGTTATTTCAGGTTGCTCGTACATGTCTCAGCATCAGTCCGCTTTGCTGGGGTGTGAATCTGTGACTGAAACTGGAAGTGCAGTCAAAATGTTCACAATGCGGGAGATTGCATTGAGACCTAATACTATTTATGATAAGTGTGAATTCAACACATAAGAGTGGGGTGCAAGAAAAAATTGAGTGGAGAACATGATTGAGTGCTGAACTTTTGAAGTGGAGGATGCTAACTGTTGGAGTCAAAGGTCACTGTCTTTCTTCTCGACGGTTGATTTTAATGCTTTGGCATGGTGGTCTTTGTATTAATTATACGTGTCAAAGGGGGTGTTCTTTTCTTGGATTTTGAGAGGGGGAAAAGTTGATCAGTAGTATTTTGGTTTCCATTGATCAAGAATCCAATGTTCTTTTTTCAGATTAATGTGGGAAACAGGGAAAGTTTATTTTCCTCGGTATACCCATCTCCTAAATGCGTAAATAACTTTCCAATCAAGGGCAAAGATTTCAACACTTGAATGGAACAAAAATGCCCCATTTAATAATGGATTTTTATGGCTAAAATGATCATTTCCTTTTTTACTTAGGAAATAAAAGAACATGGGTAAATATTATACAAGAAAAATTTATCTAAGTAACTGCATTTACCCAGATAAATAACTTACTGAAAAGCAAAGGGGGCCTAAGTGTCTTAGATAGTAAGACTACAACGTCCCACTAACAGCACAACACCGAGTTAGAAAATGAAAATGTATCTGTTGCCCGCTCCAATTTTTGGTTCTTTTTTATCGTTTCCTTCCAGCCTCGAGTTTGCCCTTTCCCTTGTCTCCTCTCCATCTTCTCTCACCAAATTTCAGTTTCCTGAGAATGTTTCAATCGTAACAGCCAATCTTTTTTTTTTTTTTTTTTCTCTCCGCTTAGTTGGGTTTCTATTGTGAGTCCAGGTCACCTGCCAACAAAACACGTTCCAACCCTCCACCAACATTATCTCACAGGTTGATAGAGGATTGGAATGTGTTTTATTGGTAAAGATCCCAATTCTTCTATTGTAATGCACTTTTTATTGAGAATAGGCTACTAGTGCAGATATGAGGAGTTCGCATCAGATGTGGGGCGCCCCAAACATTCAAAGACCAAAAACTGTCATCCTACACAAACTCCTTCATTCAGTCGTGCAGAACTAATAGGATGGACATTAGTTTCAAAATTCACCCAAATCCCTAGGTGTAAATCAGGTCGTATTGGGCCGGCATGGCACAGCTCGCATGCAGCCCATGCAAAGTGTAGGTCATGTCGTGCCGGTTTGCAAGTCGTGCTTCCCTCCTCCGGGATACTTTGGGGACTCAGCCCAGCATGGCCCACAGCCCAAGCCTGCATGGGCCTGTGTCGTGACGCGGGCCAAGCCTTGGGTCAGGTTGGGCCACAAACCGGGTCAAGCCATGATTTTTAAAAATTTTGAAAAAACAATGAAAAATTTAGCATAAATTAAAGAATAGACAAAAATGAAAGATCTTAAAATTGTATTTTATATAAATTTTGATGTATAGAATATTGTTTATATATGCAATAATAAAGTTGAAAATAAAATTATATATATTAATATATTATATAATTATTATAAATAATATTATAATATTATAATTATTATATAATATTGTTTATATATAATTATTGTAAATAATACCCACTTAAATGTGTGTCGTGCCGTACCAGCCCATGGATCTGAAACCCCAGCCCTGACATTGCCCATATGATTATGCTATGCCTGGCATGACCTACAATCCGTCATGCTGGGCACCAGACCAAACAGTTGGTATCAGAATAGCCTATTCCAATTCCAATTCCTGCAAATCAAACGAGGCCTTAGTGTTCAGAATAATAATGATAATTGATGATAATTGACTAAAATCAGTGTTTGAACATGGTATACACAATACTTTTGCTGACAAGTGTAAATCCAATACCTATCTTTTGGATGATATATACATAGAGTGGAGAATACGATTGAGTTTTGAATGATGAACTTTCTAAATGAGCAATATATTGACTATTGGAGTGAAGGTCATTGTCTTCCTCTTCTTTCTTTGATACCCAGGGATTTGTTGTTAAAAAGACGATTTTGAGGTTTTGGCATGGTGGTCTTTGACACATATTAAGCTTAAGACTGTATTTGGTACGAAGGAAAAAGTAGAGAAAGGAAGGTAAAGGAAAATCTTTACAAACCTTGTATAGGTTTCCCTACTTTCCTTTCCTTTCCCTACATTTTCCTTCAAACTAAACATAAAAGAATGCTTTTGGTCCACCCATTACGTGTTAGGCTGAGATCGTTCCTAAAACTAGTGGCTCACTTGCAGTGGAGTTTGTAGAAATTTAGGCCATGTTTGGTTCAATTACCATTCTTTCTAATTTTTACCCAAGATGAAATTCTAAAATGGAAAAGAATGGATAAAAATAGGCAAAATGAGAAAATATTGCTATAAACCAAACACTTTTTTTCTAAAAATTAATTCTTTTCAGACTAACAAGTGTTTTATGTTGCTCATTTTCATTCTTACAGAAAAAAAAAAAAAAATTGTTGGTATTCACAAACCACCAGCCTAGGTCTCCATTAGTCAATGTTTGCTAATTGGCATAGATGTTTTGTAAAAGTGTTTTTATAAAAGTGCTTTTATAAGAGTACTTTAATAAAAATGCTTTTATAAAAGTATTTTCCTAGAAGTGCTTTTGTACTTTTGTAAAAGTGCTTTCACAAAAGTACTTTTGCAAAAGTGCTTTCATAAAAGTACTTTCGTAAAAGTGCTTTCATAAAAGTACTTTCGTAAAAGTGCTTTTATTAAAGTGCTTTCGTAAAAGTATTTCCATAAAAGTGCTTTTATAAAAGTACTTTCGTAAAAGTGTTTTTATAAAAGTACCGTAAAAGTACTTCAATAAAAGTGTTTTTATAAAAGTACTTTCGTAAAAGTGATTTTATTAAAGTGCTTTCATAAAAGTACTTTCATAAAAGTGCTTTTAAAAAGGTACTTTTATAAAAATGCTTTCATAAAAGTACTTGCATAAAAGTGCTTTTATAAAAGTACTTTCGTAAAAGTGTTTTTATAAAAGTGCTTTTGTAAATGTACTTTTCTAAAAGTGCTTTTATAAAAGTACTTTCGTAAGTGTTTTCATAAAAGTACTTTCGTAAAAGTGCTTTAGTAATGTACTTTTATAAAAGTGCTTTCCTAAAAGTACTTCCATAAAAGTGCTTTTATAAAAGTACTTTTGTAAAAGTGCTTTCGCAAAAGTAAACATCTATGGCAATAGTTTTATAAGTAGAGTTTCCTCAAAGAATGAAATGAGCAAGATGGGGCGATAGTTTTATAGGTAGAGTTTTCATGCTACAGTAGTCAACTTTTGTGCTATGGGGCTGATTTTTCATTCTAAAAAGAATGTGGCCTTGGGCAAGAATTTTGCAACCAAACACTCTAATGTTATTCATTATTGCCCATTCATGTCTAGAATGAGCAAAAATTAAGAGAATGAGGCCCAAAGAAGTGAACCAAAATGGCATAAGCCACTGATTAGCAACAACTAGACCAATGCATACTATATGGGATTATTAGGAAGAGCGATAAAATCAGATTGGGCAGATTAAATTAAGGGAGATTCTTTGATGCTGGAAAAATATGGTACTAGAAAGGCTTTCACCAATCACCCCCTAGCGAATTTTGACGAAAATCCTTCTGATTGGTTTCTACCTTTTTTGATATCATGTCTTCCTGGCATCATAGTCTAACCCATAGATTAGGAACATCTAGACTATTCCACAATGGACAGTGATGTAGGCGCATATGGCATTGTCCGAATGGCATCATGGTTGTCCGCTGCAAACAAAGTCCAGGTAGGCTCAAGTATAAATAAGTGGTGTCAGTCCCTAGGTAAGCTATCTTGGCTTTTCTACTCTCAAGCTCTCTAGCATCTTGGTGACCTCATCTTAGATATACTCCTCTCAGGCTTCGTTCGACCCCTTGCTACGCACTTACTAATTTGGCCATCGGAGTCTCCACCCTTGGGATAATACTCGGGGCCTCTGATGTGCTTCCTCCTCCATAGGTCGGACTTACAGGCCCTTGACTTCATCAGCCCTTAGATGTATCAGCCCTTGACTAAGGAAGTGAAAATACATTGTTGCCCTCGGCCCAACCTTGGCAGCAACAGACATGAATGAAGATCGAGGGTCGTCTATGATCATTTCTAGCTGAACTATGCATTCGATAAAGAAAATTGAGTAGAAAATAATAGAGGAAATTTAAAGGGAAAATTTTATTATTTGTTTTTATTTAACTTTCTTAAGGATCAGCTTGGAAGGAGTATAAATACAAATTTGTAAAGTGCAAAACCTTATATTTTGTATGTATAACTATACATATTTGTATTTATACTCTTTCCAACTGATTCTAAGGCTGTGTTTGGTTGCAATGCAAATAAATTTGCACTGATGCAAAACTGTAGCAGTGAATGATTTGAGTGTAAATTCTGACCTATTTTTGTTTCAAACTTTAGCTTTTGATTGCATTACAAATGAACTAAATTAAGATATGAACCGGAATAAAGTAAAATCCAAAAAAGAAAAATTAAATGAGAGTTGTAATGCATTTCAAACTTTAACTTTCATTTGCATTAACATCCATTTGGATTAGTGCAACTAAAGTTGTAATGCAACTAAGCACAGCCTAAGGCTCTGTTTGGAAAGTGT